GCAGCGACAGTTGTAAGTACTCCAGGTGAATTAGAGGGGGGGTCACCAACATGTACGTCTACTACATTTTCTCTTTACATCAGGTGTATTTCATCCTTAGCAGACGTTCAGAATTTATACAGAATAAAAGATCAGAAAAACTGTAAGAAGTTTTCGGTCCCCTTTTCACTTTGGGAGAGGTAAGCAGACAGGTTAAAGTAACCACGGCTCTTCAGTCAAGAACAGGGACTGACTTCCTTTGAGAGTTTTGTTCCATTTCTTTCCAGTCCGTTTTTAATAATTAATTCAAGTGTTTGAAGGCAGTGGTGGCGAGTGCAGTGCTAAGTGGACTGGAGCTGTATAGTGAAAGTGCCGCTACTGGTGTAGGACTGAAAACTAAGATGGGGAAAGAGCTCATTTATAGTAGGTCAACCCTAGCTACTGCATCGCAGACAGGACTAGTGGAGAATTAGCAAAAATGCATGTGGGACAGAGCTGTGCTGCACTAAGAACTAGTCTAGAACTAGAGAAGGCATTGCAGATGCTGGGGTCACTGAGGAAGCATGCAGGTTGTGCTCTGGGAATGAGCTCAGTACTTATAAGAGCTGCTGCTTCTAGCAATGAGCCTTACCCTGCTATGACAGGCACTGGGGTCAGCACTAGCTCCAGGCAGGCAAACCAACATGAAAAGCGACAGAACGATGCCAGACAAGCCATGAAACATGAATGTCTTGTCACATTCTCCCTTTCTCGCTCAGGGTTCACGGAGGTCCTGGAGGGTGTGGCCAGCCAGTCCTTCTCTCGCTACAGCCTGCTGACGCTGCGTCACTCTTCTGCCCTGGGCGGTGCCAGCCTGGGGGCTAAAAGCGTGGGCATAACTCTGCCCCTGGACTACAAGGCAAATGCCAATGTATTCTACACACATACCTTCGCCTGCCAATGAGAGTGCAGTCCTGCGCAGGGGAGGAGGTGGACTGCTGGACACTCTGCCCCGCTCCTGGGGTACAGCTCGGCCATGTCTCACTACCCCCTTCACCCTTCCTGTGTGTCCCTTTCTACAAGACCTGCATTCTAGTCCTTTCCGCCTCCCTGATTACACCCAGCAGTAACGCCTCTCGTGAAGCATACAGGTTCTGTATAAACCACAGACGCAGTTTTGTTCAACTCAAATAATTGCAATCCTGCAGAACTGAGGCACAAGTTTTCTTGACGGAATCACTAGAAATCATAAAAAAGCTAACCAAATTACTGCATTATATTATTTAACTGCAGGAAATATTAAACTAAGAGATAAATCACGAAACGGTAATATGCCTCGTATTGCAAGCAGAAAAACCTTGCTTGTTGGTCCGGGGTGCAGAGTAGATTCGGAGACACAGGTCAGGTCTTCGGTCATGGTTGAATGAGTCCCACAGTGCACTGCTGCATTCTGGTTCTCTCCACACTGTTCAGCACAATCCACAAAGCTCGAAATGTTTTAAATTCTGTCTACTTTGGGGGCAGCATCAGGACTGTTAATTCTTATTGAAACAGTTTCACCTTTTACCTCTGACTAGGGCTCGGTACTGCTCGTCTGTGATCGAGTCCTGGCTACAGCAGTGAGGAGCTGCTCTCGGCACATACATGTGCTAAAATCCTAATATAAGGAGACAAAATTAAAACCATTTTCTTGTCGCCTGGTTTGATTTGGCTGAGTTAATTTGACAAGATCTCTGGCAAGACAATAATTCCATTCATATAGCCCCTTTCATCCCAAGGGATTCCAAAGCACTTCACAAAAAATAACCCCTTCACCCACCTCTGAAGTACGGCCTTGCCTGACAGGCGTCACTCTGCCCCCACAGCCCCAAGACACCACAGAACAGGGGCACTAGGGCTCTCTGGGGTCTCATTCCTGCCCTGTGAGGAGTGTCGGGGTTCACAGTTGTGAGCCAGCGTGTGGGAAAAAAACCACAGCACATTCCAACTCGGCCAGCTATCGCGAAGATTTGCATGTTCAAATCAGGAAAAAGGCAAATACTGTTCTTACACTCCTGTGTGCTCACTTAATAAAACAGTAGCCCTTGAGTTTTTATTCCGTGCAGGTAGGAAATGCTTGGTGCCATCCTCGGTTTTAAACAAGGGGCTGTGCTCCTGGGGCTGGGAGGGAGAGTCCCCCCCTACAGCCAGCGCTCCAGAGTGACCTCCCCTCTTTCAGGGCGGAAGATCCTGGCAGCTGCTGAGCGGAGCGATTCTGTCCACGCCTCTCAGTGCCCGCACACCTGCTGTTTCCTCTAAACCAAAGTTATAACAGCAGCTCTGTTGACAAATTCACTGTGTGGAGAGAGAAACATTTGAATGTGATGCAGGCATGAGAACACAGAAATAGCTCTGACTGTTCATCTTCATTCTATTGAGATTTTGGCACACCGTCACCTGCATTCCCCACTCTGGCCTGCTGGTGGCACTGTCTCCTACGTGTTTCCAGTAATGCAAGTTTCCTGGCAATAGGGAGAAGTGATATTTTAATTGAAGCTACCTCTGAGTAAGCATTCAGATGTTTACATTATGGTATTTGTCATATTTATCTACAGTTTCACCACTGCAATCAGTTTTAAAACCATTGTATTAATCATCACAAAGCCTCTTACCTGTGCTGAGACTGAACTGTAATTAAAATGCAAATGACCTTTTATTGTCTATTATGTTAATTAATAGTTTTATCTTTTTTCATCAAATGTAATTAGATTAAGCATTTTCCAATGTTTTTATAGAACCAATATTACAAGATCTAATAAAAGTAAAATGATTTCTTAGGTACTAGGTCATCTTGAAAAGTTTTTGCAGTTGCTTGATAAATTTTGTCAGCAAAACTCCTTAAATCTCCGAATCAGGCTCTAGTGCTGTTAAGAGGTCTTCTTGGTTATTAAATTGCACTGAAGCTACACGTTGTCACAAACTCCCTATTGTGACTGTATCCAATTAAATATTTCATTGTTCTCTTTACTACTGCCCAGTCACCAGATTGCAGAATGTTATAAAATGCTGGACTGCAGTCCTCAGTTGTGCATCGAAGGTTTGAGGATACTGTTGAAGGAATTGCTGGGAACACCTGGCAAGATAATATTTTTGGTTTTGCAAAGTTCTGAAAATACATTGGGGGATATTCTTGAAGAAATATTGAAAATTGTTTCTTGTTGGATTATAACTTGACTCTAGATTTTTGCTTCTGGGACAAAAATTGTGTTTTCCTGTTGTCAGAGGTAGAAAAATATGTTTAGAACTGTCAGAATTGCAGCCATGAAACAAATCACTAGAAACTGTTTAAAGATGGACAGGCCTCGTGTTTATATGTGGAAGGTCTCTATGAATGAAATGTATCACATGGAGAACGAATAATTCAGAGAATTAGAACTCAGCATCATATATTTGTAAAAAGGTGGTCAAAATGGGAAACATATAGAGTCTCTTTTTTTAGTAATGTGATATTGACAAAGCAGCAGACAATTTGAACTTGGGAAAAAATATTGCAGTTGTTTTTACACTCGGAACACAGCCCTGGAAGAGCTATGACATCACCAGAACCCATGGAATTCTGCCATCACACAGACTCCTGGTTCTGAGCATTATGATGTCATCAGTTCAGTGTTCAAAAACACCATCAGAACCTAACAACAGGCAGTGTGCTGGGAATTAAACAGAATTGCATACTTTGGATATCAAGGCACTTTTTCAGTTATGAACATTACTTAGTAGAAACAGGTTTCCTGATATAATTACAAGAAAAAGACAATTACGTTTTGCCTGTAATGGGAACACTTTATCATTAGAAAAATTATATTCTATAATGCAATCTTTGGCACAGATTAAGGTAAGACGATTATTATTGTTAATACAAATGTTAAATGATTTTTAAATACAATGTATAAATAGATAATGTAGCTGTGCAAATAACTTGAGAATAAATTTTCACGACTTCATTTAGTAATACAATTGTGTGCCGATATTCTACTGATATTTGTGTTGCCATGTTTTAAGCCAACAATTCTCATGCTCTGTATTTCATCATAGAAAAGCTAAGCACTCACCAGAACATCCTTTTGGACAACATAAACCCTGCACAACAACACGTGTTAGCTTTAAGGCTGCGCAGAAATCAAGGATGTACAGTATCTGAGCTACTGTGGTCAATATAAATAAAAGATGCTGAATGACAAGCCTGACTTCTCATCCAAACTTTTTTTGGATGTTTTTTATGATAATAGAAAACACAAGTTTTTTAGGTTTTGAGTGAATGTTTCTGCTCATAATTTATTATGTTAATTAGTTTTTTATAACTTATATCATAACTTAAGTCAAAACATATCTGCTTATATATTGTAATATTGTAACTCCTGATTGTGTCTAAGATGTCCAAGACCTGCACAGTAGTGAATGTTTAGTAAACACCTCAGCAAGGTGGAGCTGAAGAGTCAGACTCGCCCTCCAAAGACCCTGGGTGAAGTTTAGATCTCAGCTTTTGATAAAAAGATATATGTTTAGTATACTAGAAAAATTGGGCTGTGATTATTCCCTCAGTAGATACTGTACAGAAAATGTTGTCACTTTCTGTGGCCGCAGAATGATTGTGTGATTTTTCTGGGGCTCTTTCCAGGTTCCTGTCTCTTCTCCCTTCCTAACTGCTGGTTTCACAAATGATCAGATCTCTGACAAGCCATAATTCAAAATAAATGAGCTCCAAAAGCATTTTGTAGTTAGCAGTCACTAAGCTATACCTCAACCAAATCTTTCTAAGGAGGTCTTAGGTAGTTGATCTGAAATGCTCTCAAGTTACTCTTAGTTTAATAAAGGCCTCATCTTTAATGATTAAAGGTTGAGGTGCTTCAAAACACAAAATTAACTCTAAATCTGAGTGAGGAAATACATGCCGTCCTGTGGCCCTGTGACTCTGCGCTCTCCCCTCTCCAGTCTCAGCGACACCGAAAGGGGTACCAAACCTCCTACATGGCTGACTACAAGCCCCCGAGCGAGCGCGGCCCGCGCCTGTACCGCCTCCACCCCCGCCCGCCTGGCAGACCAGCCACCAGCACGCCCAAAAAGGTATGCCTGCTCAGGAGGGGTCTCATCCACACCCCTTCCTCAGCCCACACTTCAGACGGGAAGTTCTGGCTCCCACACATGTAGCACCAGCATGGACGTGAATTCATACGAGAGGCTGAGAACTAAAAGACCTTGACTTCTGTCTTCTAGCAGCATGTGGCTGAACATCCATGGGTGCAAAAAGTTGGCCACAGCAGTAAAATGCTGTAAAATCCTTACAGTGCCTAGATCCTGGTCTACCTGTATAGTACCTATACTGTCTTTAAACAGCTCCTATCACTCGAGAACTGGACTCTTCCTATCCTGACTCAGGGATATCACAATCCACAAATTAAGTTTTCTACTAATACAGTGCTTGTATCTCCTGAATGTGGACAATGGACACTCTTTATATGGATTATAGCACTAATTGAACAATTGGTCCATATGTACATTAAACGGCAGAGCCTGGCATGCTGGCACACTACAGTGTGTAATTTGACAGTGCAGTGGGGGGTCTGTCAGTGTGTCCTGACTCAGTGCAGTGGGGGGGTCTGTCAGTGTGTCCTGACTCAGTGCAGTGGGGGGTCTGTCAGTGTGTCCTGACACAGTGCAGTGGGGGGTCTGTCAGTGTGTCCTGACACAGATCCTTGTTAGTCCATGCACTCTGGCTCAGTGCAGTGCTGACATGTTGCAGATGGAGGAGGAGTGGACTCAATATCAGCAGAAGCGCAGCAGGTCCTCCAGCAGTTCCTATAGCTCATCCACCTTTGCACAGGTAAGCTTTCCTGTTTGCTCCCTCATATAACCACTGGAAAATGTCTCGTGTAGCAAAAGTCTAATTTCTCTAACATGTAAGGCTATAGAAATAATGTTTCTGATAAAAGATTCATTCTCAGACTTAAAGCTGGTAGGCATTTAAGTAATGGGTGTATTTGGATTGAGAATCAGAGTACAGATAAGGATTTGATTACTAAGGTAAGGGATCGTATTAGGGATAATTAGTGGAGTACCACAGGGATCTATATTAGGACAGCTGTGAACTAGTCAAATCCACTGATTGTACCGAAATGTGTGAAGCTAATATAAGCAGGATTAGCAAACTCCAAAAGCAGGAAAACAAATTACAAAAGACAAAATTCAATAGGGGGAAAACACCTGGACAATGATGTTTAATGTAGACCAGCACAGAGAGCTATGTGTTGAGGTTTGGGAAGAGATGAAATTCTTGACATTTTGT